TGGGGGCAGGCGCCGGAAAACACGCGCAGGACAGAAAACAGCCGGCCATGGAGATAAGCAATGCCTTCTATTTCTAAATTGTGGCCACGGGATAAATAGTATTTCACTGCGGCATTTTCCTGTAAATGGGGCTGGGGCTGTAGCTCAGCGTGCCAGGCCCTGGGTTCCACACCCCTACCCCGACTCCCAGGGCGAGAAGAGAAAGTTCAGAATCATCCGAATTTAAGTACAGCGCGCCAAGGCAAGTCTGCATAGAGGTTGGACCCTGGCTTTATTGAAATTTTGATATTTTAATGGATTTAGTTGCGTTAATTTTGATTCTTACAAATACTACTAGTAAAACGTTATTTTTGTTCGTATCATATCTACCATCAGTGCCACCTCCCAATGAGTAAAGCAGGTATACAAACATCTGAAGCCCTTATCATCCCAGCACTCACGAGGCTGAGGCAGGATGATTTCCGTGAGTTCGAGGCCAGCCTGGGCTATGACGTGAGTTCAAGGTCAGGATGAATTACTTATGGGACAAAACAAAGAACCAGAACCATAAACAAAGCAGAAAAGAAACATTGGCAGTGCTATAGGAAGGTAGCAGGGCTGCTATGAGGCTGATGCTAGTGGAGGAAGTGAAGTCATTGGGGCGCGGCCTCAAGGGGACTCTGGGTCCCTGGCTCCTCCCCTTTGCTCTCTGCTTCCGCGTACCCTGTGTCACCGTGGGCCCGGAACAGGGTGGATAGTGCCATGGACGGAAGCCTCAGAAACCGTGCTGTAAACAAAGCTTTGCTCCTTTAAGTTCTGTCCTCGGCCGTTGTCATAGCAACTGGGCTGCCGAGAGCCTCTGTGTCCGCGTGGCCCCCAGGCGAGTGTTGCACCGCTAGGCTTCAGCAGGTGTTCGTTGGTTAAATTCTCGTTGACCCCCATGTTACAATATTCCCCTCTTTCTCCGCTGCTCTCCTACTCCACCTGCGGGATATTTGGAGGTGGGGCCTTTGGAGCAATCACTGGATCACGATGGTGTCCTTTCTGTGGCAGGATTATACTGTAGTTTTTTTTTTTTCTTTTTTGTTTTGGTTTTTGAGACAGGGTCTCATTGTGTAGTTGAGACTGACCTGGGACTCACTGTGTAGCCCAGGCTGGTCTCGAACTCACAGCGATCCTCCTGTCTCAGCCTCCCCAGTGCTGGGATTAAAGCGTGCACCAACATGCCCGGCTATACTGTAGCTTCTTAAACGCTTTTTTTTTTTTTTTTTTTGAGACAGGGTCTCTCTATATAGTTCTGGCTGGCCTTGAACTTATGGTGATCTTCCTGCTTCAGCCTCCTGAGTATTGCGATTAGAGGTGTCTGCCACCACTTTCCCTCTCTCTGCCCTCTCCAGACACCTTCTTTGCCGGACCCTGATCCTGACCTTGATCTCAGACTTCCAGGACTGAGCATAAGAGTTTGTGAGCCACACAGGCCCCCATAATTGGTATAGCAGCCTGGGTTAGTTTCCCAGAAAACAAAACAGAAACAGGAAAAATAAGACGGACGTTGATATGTAGAAGAACCATTTGAGGGGATCAGTTCCGGGGCCAATAAAACTTTATGTACAAACGTTAAGTGGGGTGCTCGGTTTTTTCCTCTTTTCTTTTTGCACTGCTGGGGATGAAACCCAGGGCTGCTGCCATTGAGTTATAGCCCCGGCCCCAGGGGCCAGATTTAGTCCGTCTTTAGCTACCCTTGTAGATTCCCTTGTGTGGGAGGGGCTCCACCAGCCTCCCTGCCAGTTAGTAGCAGGATTAGAGCTCCCTCGCACCTGCCAACATCCTGTCTGTGTGCCTGCACTCTGGCCTCTCCGCTGATGTTCATGGATTGGGCTGTGACAGCTCCCAGATGTGAGCAGCCAGGCACCAAGGAGAAACCTAACCACCAAGCCTGCCTGGAGCTGCTGGTGCTGGCAAGGTGTCTGGTGGGACATCTTTAGGACAACCAAGGGAAATGTGGGCTTCTTGAGGAGAATCAGACCAGACCAGTTTAAACTTGGGATCCTCCTGCCTCAGCCTCCTGAGTGCTGGGATGAAAAGCGTGCCCTATTACACCTTATGTAAGCCTCGCTTTTCTTCCATGAAATGAAGGTAGGAAAGTACTTCCTGTGAAATACGTGCTTCTCAACTCAAGCATGGCCTGGGTTTGTTTACGAGATGTGGCAGGCTCCGAGATGCTGGGGTTGATCTGGACTCCCGGTTCTCATAGCCTGGAGCCACCTAATTGGGCTGCAAACCTAGAGAATGTAATTCATTCCTTGCTGCAGGGCTCTCCCTGGGGGTGGCCCCAGGAGATCGTCTTGGAGCTCAGCTCCTGAGGCCTGCGGCTCTCACTGTTTCCCTGCCTGTTCCTTTGGACACTGGTGCCCGTGAGTACTGTACATCCATCTTCCAAATCCCTATTGCCCACTCGTCTGGTCCACCGTCCTCCTGCTGTGGCCAAGGCTCAAAGGAAAAAAGCACTGCAGGCCTGGGGATGGAACTCGGGTCCTTGCACTTGCGAGGCAGGTACCAGAGCCACTGAGCTAAATCCCCAGTACCAAAAGAAGCCAAAAAAAGAGAAAGTACGGCACCCCCAGACTTCCCTGGGGAGCAGCAGTGACTGACAGTCTAAATAGGCGTCAACCTCCCTAGCCCTTTCCTTCCCGGAAGTTCCTTCCCGGAAGTTCCCTCTGCATTCTTTGTACGCCTGACGACTGTACTTGTGATCTTATTGGCTGGTCACGGTTTTGTCCCGCCTCACGCCCGCCTTGTGGTTTTTCCACTGGATCTTATTAGTTGACTCGAGTTTTCTCCCACTTTGTACCCACCTCGCTTCCGTGGGCAATTCACTTTGTGGGTGCAGGAGCTGTCTTTCCCTCGAGAACTATTCCCTTCTCATAACCTCGGCTGGAATGGGAACCAGGTGTTGCGAATATCTAGCAGGTTGGGAATTGTATTTCCCTTGTTTGGATGATTTACATTATTTGGATTACTTGGTGCCCTATATCAATCCCAGCTACCCAGGAAGCTGAGGCAGAAGGATCTTGAGTTCAAGGTCTGCCTGGGCACCTTAGCCAGACCTCGTCTTAAAATGAAAAATGTTTGCGGGGCTTGGTGGCGAATGCCTGTACTCCCAGCACCTGGGAGGCTGAGGCAGGAGGACCACTGCCAAGTTTGAGGCCAGGCTGGGCTACATAGAGAGACACTGTCTCAGAAAACCAGAAAATTGTTTTAGTTTTTAATTTTCTGACAGAGCCAAATTTGAGCAGAACTCCAATTTGCAACCCTCCTGTCTCAGCCTCTGGGAGTGCTGGGATGACAGCTGGACACCCTTAAGTCCAGCCTGTTTTGTTTGTTTTTTTTTCAGTGCTGAAGAGGAAGCCGAGGGTGTTTCCCGTGCCAGGCAGGTGTTCACCCGGCCCTATTCTACCACTGTCATTCTTTACAAGACTGCCCAGTGTGGGGGCCAAGGTCTCAGGCAGGGTAACCCCAGGGCTGAAATTAGCTGGGACCTGACCTGGACCCTGGCACTGCCACCCATGGGGACGCCGGGTTATACACAAAGTGGGATTGCTGGACCCTGAGGTAATGCTGTTCAATTTCTTGAGGGACCAGATTATTGAGTCTTGAAGGGTTTTTTTGTTTTGTTTTTTGAGACAGGGTCTCACTATGTAGTTGAGACTGACCTGGAACTCACTATGTATGTAGTCCAGGCTGGTCTCGAACTCATGGCGATCCTCCTGCCTCAGCCTCCCAAGTGCTGGGATTACAGATGTGCACCACCACGCCCTGCTGTTTTTCTTGAGGCAGGGTCTTGCTTTGTAGTTCAGGCTGGCTCTGAAGTCACTGTAGCCCAGGCTGGCCTCAAACTCACAGCGATCCTCCTGCCTCAGCCTCCAGCATGCTGGAATCACAGGTGTGCACCACCATGCCTGGCCAGCCTTTCTCCCTTAACAGAGGTGCTCTGCTCTGTGTGTGCCCAACTCCGTGCGTTGGGACTTTGTCCTGAAGGTCCTGGGGAATCTCCACAGGGCTCTGCTGTCACAGTGGATGAGTGTACACTCAGGCTACTGGGTGATCTAGGGAGTGGCCTTGTCATCAGAGTGACCTCTGCCAGGTGCAGCCGTGCATGCCTGAGATTCCAGCACACTGGGAGGCTGAAGCAGGAGGATAGCAGGTTACAGCATAACCCAGGCAACTTAGTAAGACCCTTTTTTTTTCTTTTTTGGTACTGGGGATCGAAATTGGGTCCTCGCGCTTGCGAGGGAGGTGGTGGAAACACCGAGCTAAATCACTGGCCCAGCAAGACCCTGTCTTAAAATAAGAGACCTCTGAAGAAATAACCTTCTAGTCCTCAGCAGTCACCCAGGCTCTGGCATTGTGCTGCAGCCCCAAAACGGGGGCCATGCTGGGTCTTCCTTGGTCTCTGAGGCATCTGCCCACCCTCAACTCAAATCTGCTGGCCTGGCCTGGCGCGGCCCTTCCCTGGCGTGAGGTTGCCAGAATTGAGCACTGCAAGGGTCCATTCACAGAAGGTTTATTGGTTGATCCGAGCTGGGGCCGGCATGCGAGAGGAAGAAATCAGGGTGCGTGGTCACCCTGGGGAATCACTGGAGCAAGGCACTTTCGCAACAGATCTGTGACACCGGGACCTGCTCACCCCTTTCAGACGTCCTGGTGACAAATGTCGAGATGTGGGAGGCACCATCCCTCAGGTTCAGGGTGTTTGTTGAATGACTAAACGAGTGTCAGCGAAGCATGAGGAAGGCCTGATGCTTTGGGAGCGGGAGCTTGGAAGCTCCACCCCACTGGTCACATTTCTTTGGTTTGGGGGCAGCACGAGGCCAGTGGCCTCTCCATCCGGCGCTACAGGTGTATCCTGTGGCCTCTCTGAAAGCACAGTGCCCAGGGACTATAAAACCCTTCCCTGTCCGGCTTCCCAGCAGCCCTTCTGCTCAGGGGAGGACTGAGGTCTCCACTGCCACACAGCTGGGGAGCAGGAGACTCAGAGACAACTTGCCCTGGACGGCCTGCAGCCCTGGCCACGGAGTCTGGGCCCCGGGTCACCGGGTGGGCTCGGCCGGGAGTCTTAGAGTCAAGTACAATTTCAGAGGAAAAGAAACAGACCGGGGCTTCCCGGAAGGCTGGGACCCCGTGGGACCCGGGAGGGAAGGCCCGGTGACCGGTTCCCACCCCTAGTCTGCCTTCTTGGTCTTCTTCTTCCGGGAGCCCTCCGCCAGCTCCTCCTTGGACTTGGCGGGCTGGGGCGGGCAGTGCTGAGGGCCGTGGTTGTCATGGTGATGGTGATGGTCGCCGCCCCAGGCTGTCCCGAACAGCACGGGGCACACGTAGGCCTCCAGGACATCGAACGGGGAGCCGTGGGAGTGGGTGGCCGTCAGGAACACCTTGGGCGGGGCAGCGGGGACAGCAGGGAAAACAAGGCAGGCACAGAGGAAGTGGGCACGCAGGCCCAGGCCCAGACGCTGCGCCGCATCCGCCCGGAATTCGCACCGCATGCTGGCCGGGTTTTTATTTTATTTTCTGTGATATGGGGGATGCAACCCAGGGCCTTCACTGAGTTACATCCCTCCTTTTTTTGGGGGGTGGGTGTTTTGAGACCAAGGTCTAGCTATGTAGTTCAGGCTGCCCTTGAACTATGAAGCCCAAGCTGGCCTCAAACTCACAGTGGTCCTCCTGCCTCAGCCTCCCGAGTGCTGGGATGACAGGTGTGTGCCATCACACCTGGCCAGCCTGGGTATTTTTATCTTTGATTTTGAGATAGGGATTTGATAAGTGTGCCTCAGCCCCCTAAAGTACTGGGGTTATAGGTGTGGACCACCACACCTCGCTGGTCCAGATTTCATTTTGCCCTCCATAACTGAGAACTTCCGTTAAACTGCTGGGTGGCATGATCCTGGGCTGGGCCTGCATGGCAGGCAGGGCACCCCCGCTCGGCCCTCTGTGGCCTCTCCTCTTCCTGTCCCTGTCCCAGTAGTGGCTCATGCCCTCCTCCCATGACCTCTTGCCAGGCGTCCTCTTCCCACAGGGGCGGTGGCGGGGAGGCTGAGGCAGGAAGGCTCACCTTACAAGACACCATGAACATGGTGAACAGGAAGATGAGGGTGGCCTTGGACACCGGTAGCCAGCGGGTCTGCTGCAGGGTGAACAGCACGGCTCCGTACAGGCTGGCCTTGCTGGGGCTGTGGGAGGAGCTGCTGTCATGGGGCCACCGGCGCCAGCCCTAACCACTCAGCCATCTACTCTCCTTTCTGCCTTTGTGCAGTGCTGAGGCTACAACCCTGGCCTCACCTGTGTGCCAAGTCCGCGCCACTGGGCTACACCCGCTCTTCTTATTTTGAGATGGGCCTGGCTAAGCTGCCCAGGCTGGGCTAGAACTTGTGATTCCCCACTCCTGAACGTCCCAGCTCTGGGCCCTGCCCTCGCACCAGCTCCAGGTCCCGTTTCCCCCTCACAGTCTGCAGCCCGACCCCTCGGACCTGGCACTGTTACTGTTCTTTTCTCCTGGCCTCTGTCCAAAGGTTCCTTCTGGGCCAGAAAACTCCTACTCGCTCTTCACAACCTGAACCAACATCGCTTCTCCCCATCCCTGCCCTCTGGGAAGATGCGTGTTCCCTCCCTGGGGTCCCCAGCCAGTCCCTGGAAGCTCCGGGGAGACAGGTCTGTGGTGCAGAAGGGACGGAGGAGCGGTGGCACTCACAAGGACATGTGTAGGATCTCGTTGGTCTCCGGCTTCCAGACGCCCCGCAGCAGCTGCTCGAAGTTGGCCATGAGGGCAACGCCGGATCCTGCGGGATGGGTCTCAAACAAGGCTGCTGTCTGACACCCCACTCAGCACCCCCAAATCCACCCAGTCCTCACCACCCCTACTTCACCCCCAGTGTGGACCACTCCCTCTTCCCTGGAGCCACCCAGAAAGAGAGGACTGGCTTGGGCTGCAAGGGCACTGGCTCTCCGGAGGAGGCTTCCAGGTTGGACACTTTGGGGACAGGCACCAGATTTAGAACTTGCCTGGACCTTCTTCCTGATACTCTTAGGGACATTTCTCCAGTGATTAAGGTGGAATTGCTTGTCATACTTACCTTCTTCCAGCGTTTTTTTGTTTGTTTTTTTGTTTTTAGACAGGCTCATGCTACGTAGTCTAGTAGGTTGGGCTTGAAATTCCTATGGAACTCACGGAGATCCTCCTGCCTCAGCCTCACAAGAGCTGGGTCTATAGGCACACACCATACCTGGCTGCTACTACTAGCATTTGCTTTACTTGTTTGGTACCCTCTTTTTAGATACATATATGTTTGTAACTGCAACATCTTCCTGGCCAAAGGATTCTCACTCTCATTTTGAAATGTCACCCTTTATTTCTGTAACAGTTGTAGTTTTGATATCTCTCTTGGTCTGCCTGTTCACATAGATGACGGGGTAGAGGGGAGACCTTCAAAACAGTTAAGAGGCCTAGTGTTGTGGCATATGCCAATCAACCTAGCGCTGGGGAGGCTGAGGCAGGAGGATCACTGCAAGTTTGAGGCCAGCCTGGACTATGTAGTGAGACTGTTCCTCAAGAAAAAATAAACCCAAGAAACAGTGAATCATCAGTCAAAACTTACAGGGGCTGGGGATTTAGCTCAGTGGTTCCGCCACCTGCCTCTCAAGTGTAAGGACCCCGATCCCCAGCACCAAAAAGAAAACAAACAAAAAACCCAAACTTACAGGGGTCTGCAGGCTTCACGGGGCTGAAGTTGGGCATGGCCCACAAAGGTAAAGACTGGTATGTATGTGGTACTCTGGAGAAACGATGGTCTAGGCAGTGTTGCTTTCTTTTTCTTTCTGTACTTTTTTGAGACACGGTCTCCCGGTCTAGCTCAGGCTGGCCTGGAACTCGAAGGGATCCTACTGCCTCAGCCTCTCGGTGCTGGGAGCACAGGGGTGTTGCTTGGGTGGAGGTGCACCTGGCAATGTCCGGGCGTTTCTGGCTAATGCTGCTGTGGCCAGGGTGCTCCCGGTTGCAGGAGGGGCCCCAGGGCTCTCGCTGTATCCCTCCGTCCTGTGGACGGGACACTGGCTGGCCTACTGGCCCGTCCGCTCACCTTTCACCCAGCCGGTGGCGATCATGATGAACCAGCCGTGGTGGTAGTGGTGGTGGGCGTGGTGGATGCCCACGGCGATCTTGCGCACGCGCACCACCTCCTTCATGGCCACGAAGACCAGCTTGACCGGCAGGAAGCTCACGCACTTGTAGAAGAGGTCGAGCGGGCAGAAGAAGGTCAGGTACCTGCGGAGGGAGGTGGCGTCGCAGTGGGGCGGTGGCCGTGGTGGTACGAGGCCCTCCCCGCCCTGCCCGGCCCGCTT